AAAAAGTTCTCATAGAATTATGCACACTATTACTGCCGTCAAGAGTGATGTGAAAGGAATGTAATGGCGCTTTTTCCCAACGTTTTGGCATGAACACTGTGGCCCTTTGAAAATATGTATATGACTTTAAGTTGATGGGAGTTGATCACAATTAAAAGATATAAGACCGAGTGCAATTTATGCTGTCCGATTAGAGGAATTCGCTGGACCAACAAGAAAATCAGCAACAAGTGACTTAAAAGAGAAACCTTAAATTTTAACTTAAATTTTAAGGCGATACTGCCGAAACGTCAGCTAGCGTTGTATTGTATTGTGTTTTTATGGAAGTAAATGTATGCTGTTTAAAAACCTCGCGATTGCTGAACAAGAAAACGACACATTCATATTCCAATGCTCTCAGTGTTGATCAATCCCTGAGGGATGCGCTATGCATTCTACTTCATTAGGCATTGTTGGAGCTGATTGAATGCATATCTGGCCTTTAAAATGAGCCGCGGTGGCCTTCCGATGCATCAAGCCACTGCTGCTATGCTTTCAGACAAGTCTGGTACCAATTTGCCGACCCCGGAGGAAGGAAGGCTTGGTGAGCCACGGGCGCGAGGATCAATCCCATATGTGTATTATAGGGCGCCTCCCACCATTGCGCAACGCGCGCGAATTCATGGTTATTGCATGGAATGAACTAATTTGAAGATGTAAAATAGGAATAAAATGGTAGACATACAATTGTTTGCACATTAGTTTCTGGCTTATAGTATTCGAATGCGATCTGTGTTCAGAATAACGTATAATATTTTAACGATTACTTTATACCAGAATGGATCTCTTCTTGTATTAATCGTGTGCTTGTGGATGCCCATACTATGTAAACGGTAATTGCTAAAGAGGATTTTAATTGAAATGTAAAAAATATGTGTTCGTTTCGAAAGAAGAATAAAAGGCGTTTCGGAGGACGTTCGGCGTGGCTTAGAAGAAAGCATAGAAGTAGCGATGAGCACCATAGCGAGCTGAAACGTCGAACAATTTTCTTATCATTCAGAATTCACAATTATTTCGCTGTTTCATTCAGATCACTTTCCGAAAGTGACTTTCAAAGAAACTAACCAGCGGGAAGGTAAACATCTGACCAGTCCTTTCCATGTCGGCCATACGCAGTCGGTGTGATCCACTTATCGTCTAGCGTTTTAAAGTCAATCAGACCATTACGATACATATCAATAGCTCGTTTAATATTTGACCTAAATGCTCTAGGATTCTGGTATGTTTTATGGCAAAAAAATCGGGTCAGTATATATAAGTATATATAAGGCACGCTGAATTTCTTGAATACGAAAATATAAATTTCTTTCATAAACCATGCCCGCAAAGAATATTCTGACGCTGCAGAGTTGATCTAGTAGATAGCACAAAAACACCTGAGAATTGTACAACGATATCACGTCCCTAGGCAATGAGCTTCTCATCGTTGAATAAGCATACCTATCCATCTGCCACGGTCGCCAGCTATTCCACAGCGGTCGATCGTAATTGGGATCGCGATAGCGACGCCAATAAGTGGGATTCAACCAGTCAGTATACCACTTGTAGCGACTCCTAAATAGCGGGATGAATACAAAGGAGAAGCCGTCACATTTTTTCGTGTATTTTTTAAAAATGTGAGTATTAGTTATTTCATAGAAACAACTGTGACGAAAACTCTCCTTCATATCAAGTACAACTTTTTTCTTCAATTCCTAAGCTATTAATATGCTTCAAATATTATTCGCTTTGTTTCGAGTTACAAAGGTATCTGTTATAATAGACTCTTTAAATTAATAGTAGAAACGTAAACGATAGGTACTGCATACATCGCTTTCTGAACAGGTTGCGCTCGATGTTTTAGGAGAGGGTGATGACGGTCAACTCCCTTAACTCACCACCTTTCACAACTACATCAATCCACGGTAAGTAGAAAAGTTTTACTCACGGAGAGTCAGTACAAGTCTCCAATACTACCTACGCTCTAGTCGATAAGAAAAAGACTAGCCAGTAATCGGGGTACTCAAATCCAAGACTATGTGGAATCGGATCGACATAGAGTGCTCGACGTGCCGCGTAGCGATATGTAGGCCAGTAGAATGGTTGATAAAACATATAGCGATCGATATTGTGGTCATCAAGCTGAAAACACTCGAAGAATTCGTTAGAGCACGAATCAACTAGGATTGTAGAGGAGTATGAGAATCGATCTCTTGGAAAGACGTTATGAGCATTTGTCATCGGTGATACAGTTTTTAACTGAAGAACAACTTCAGAACAAAATTTTGTTCAGTACCGTGAACGTAAATTTGGATTTTACAAAAGGAAAAGACGGAATTAAACCGTCCTCAATGTTGTTTTAAACAAACAATACCTAGATATTTCATGAAATCGGTGAGCAAAAAGTCCAAGTATTTTGCACCGTTGCAAAGACTGTGGAACATAGTTACTGCTGTGTGATTTTAGCCTACGAAAACTTTTTATACATTTCAATACTTCTTTCTAGACTATTTAATTCTTACAACGACCTGTTATAGGCTCATAAATAAGATGAAAAACGTTTCTGTTTCTTTTTCCTACAATCCTATGTTACACACGGAGGCCATAGGATTTTCGCGGAACAGCGGACGAAAAACGTCTCATCAATAAGATTACACATGTGCAGCTTTCAGCATCATATGCGTCAAGCGAGCTATTTCGGAAGATATGGTGATCATTGCTGCTAGGCTAATAGAAACGCTGTTCAATTTTTGGAACAATTATTGCTACCGTTGTCATCGTTGCCATTATTAGATGAAACTACAAATAATGCTCATAATTCTGGGTTTCTTCAGAAATAAATTCACACCGTGTCGTAGTTTTTTCTGTATTTGTGCAGTGTGGAACATCGATATCTGTCGCCACCTACATGAAACGTCGATAGGTTTGGTACTGAAGACACTCTGAAAGCTTTGAAACGTTTGAAGACATTTTTTTTTCGTAGGTGTTGTCAAGCTAGTCAAAGATCAACAAAATTCCATGAATATTAATAATTAAATAGCTATTGAAATCACTACTGGTCTTCGTAACATAGGTTTACAAAGAAGTTCAACTTTGAACTGAGTCGGATCTGCACGGAAAACACTTAAAACAAGATTGAGCTTAACACATTATGTTAATGAGAATCATTATTATAAGTGCACACACTCACCTCGTAAGAGTCGCTACAGTGCCGAATCTCTCTACTGAACGAGATCTTGGTAGGCAGTGTGCTGTATGGGCTTTGTAAGCCGGTCCAGACATAGTTGATTCGAAGGGCTCAAAAATCCAATGTGATCACCCGACGTAGCAGGTCGGAAGGAAGAGGGCGGTTCTTCCAGACAAGCCAAACAGCCCACAACGACCCACGCATTGGCCGCTGACAAAGAACATCCAATCCAACATATTATACAGGATAAAGCGTAGCCCCTCCTATTGACTTTAACCCAGCGGAGAATTATCTGATGCAGAATTTTAATGTGTCAGAACATAAGACCCATAGGAAATTCATGCTTCATTTCCTGTAATTTATACCATTGTTTACAGGAATGAGAAACAAATTCCTCTGCAATGCACAAAAATTCCGAGTAAATAAACTGATGTACCTGTTTGCTTCTATTAATCCCAGAAGGTCATGATCTGCACCGCATGGTTTTGGTTAAAATTACATTTAGCTAGCTATACTAAATCGAGCTTTTGTCCCAATGATATTGATTAACCGAAAATTTAAAACTAGCGCCAAAATTACGTTCATATATAGGTAATCGCAGAAGTGGAAATCGTTCTAGAAATATCCTAGTCACAAAGCAGAAGTGGCCTTTCCGAATCTCTGTAGTAAATACATCAGAACCACATACACCCCACTCCGAATTCTGTGGAACAACACGCCTGTTCAATCAATTCTATTGAAGATGAATACAAGACAAGGAAGCAAATGGAGCAATATCCGAGCCCGTAACGTTAAATTTTTAAAGCTTTTTGTATGTTTGAGTACATTTTCTGAATAGTCTTTTTGATGCATGTTCGCATCACATCTGAACTGTTCTTTTTTTGCTGGCTAACTTCTCACTATCAGATGCTCTTTCTCTTTATTAAAACGATAGCATAGATCAGGGTTTAAGCGAACAATCAAAAACACCACTTTCTGCAAGAACATTCCTTAACAAATTGCAAATCGCATGTCACTGCTGCCAGAAAAAGAAGGATTTCTTGGGAAAAACGACAACCGAGTCCCATAGTATAACTGAATTGAAGAGAAGATAAATATTAAATATCTAACACAGTGGGTACTTGAATACCTTAGCGGCCCGTCTTCACTGGATGTGCGGGTCCCAGCATAATTTTCGTCTTTTCGGGGTTTGCTGCTTTAGTCACTGTGGTTTCGTGGGCTCTCCAGCTCAGCCTATCCAAAGTCTGTCCCAGATCATCACCACCACAAACAGTCGTCGCGCTTGTGGATCAGAGGGAGATTTGCACCCATGCGACTAGTTTGATACCAGGATGGTGGTGGATGGTGGTATTGGTTTACTCTGGGTGGTTTGCTCGACCCACCTCCACTTTGTGTATTTCATATTTCAAGTGGAATAACGGCTACTTTCAGCGAACATGAAAAGTACTAGAACTTTGGCCCAAGGTAGGCGAGTGCAGCGCAGTGGTGGTCACGCAAGCTTCCTTACTCTGGCGCATTTTATGAGCACGTTTGTCTAATGGATACGGTGGATACCAATCTGAAGAAATCAATTGTCATCATTTCTTTCCAGTAGCTTATCTTGCTGCTTCGATCGGTGACTCCCTGGACATGGGAAGGAATTCGACATCGCACAAAGTCAAATCAGGGAGAAAATTTGCGCAAGAAGTCGTTGACGTACTGGTGCTAACCTACTCTTTAGACTGCGAACCTCTCTTCGAACTATACTGACCGGCGACAGTTTGTTGTAGAGTGAGCCTGAGAACACCCTAGCACATAATTCTGAAGACTGGTGCAGAAAAAAATTTGTAATCGCTGACGTTTCTTCTTCATGACGGGTCGCATAACTAGGCAACTAAGGGAAGCATTGTGACCAATACATTTGCTTAAAACCAAATAAATATGACATGGCTTCAAGTAATAAGTCCTTTTAGGAAGTGAGAGTGACCAACGCAACCCCACCACAGATGAACAGATTTGGCACAACAATAGCATACTTGGCGCTCTTTCCAAGATTTTTCTGACGCCCAGAAAACACAGGGCTAGAAATGACGAAAGGTTGAAAATGATACGTGAGCCATTCAAAACTTACGTAAACTCAGGTCAAACAAGTTTCAATGATTTTGTCACCTCTACGTATGCTGGGGATAGTTTGTGAAGAATACACATAAGCAATTAGACTTTGACTCGAAGATAGATATGTTTCAGTAATTTTGCAGTCCTGATTGTAATAAAAATATTGTCTACTGCAAAGCACTTGACACAAAAATAACTCCAAAACAACTGTTGGCCGCAGTTACTCTTCAAACAAATATAATTACACTACTATAGTATATTAATTAAGATAATTGCCGATCTTGGGAGTAAAATTGCTTGTTAATATCTGAATTTACAAAAGTTTCGATTCAAAGAAAAGAGAGACGTCAAGAATTGTTATCTCACAATGCTGTTAAACCAAGTTCATGTGAAAATACTAACGGGAAAAATTCCGGTGTAGATATGTAGGGCTAACATTGTTGTATGTGTGCATCTTATGTGAATGTGCTGCGAAATAACTTAAGAATGTTTTTCATCAATAAGCAGACACGAGGTTGTTAATATAGAATTTATTAGAACACAATTGCTGACGTTTCGGCGG